TTCCCCTCCCACCCACCCCCAGCAGCAGGAGCTGAACCCAGCACCTCCACAGCTCCAGGAGCACCTGAAACTCAACACAAAGCCCTGGAACGGGAGCAGTGGTGGGAGCCAGGGCTGGGTCTGGGGGTACCTGTGGGCAGGGGAGATGTGGAGCCCACTCAGCTGGCCTGGCAGAGCTGCCTCAGAGCCACCATAGAGCCGTGTCGGGGGTTGGTGCTGCACGTTCAGCAGCTGCTGCTTCTCCACGGGGCTTCCACCAGCCCCAGGGGGCATCACCCTCCTGCTCAGGGCAGGCCCGTTGTCCTGGAAGAGAAGAAAAAGTAGAAACAGACAAAAAAAAGCTGAGTTTTATAGCTCTTAGTAGGATATCCACAGAGGGGCTGTGCTGGGACGTGCAGCTTCACGCAGAGCTGCAAATTCAGAGTCCCCTCCTTTATGTTTTTACTGTACAGTTTCATCTGGAGAGGAAAAAAAAAAGGCATATTTTACATGCTCCATGGAAAACAGAGACACATCAAGGGTTTAAGCTTGGTATTGCTATTTTTATTGGGGTTTTTTTTGATTGTTTGGTTGGTTTTTAATTCCCAAGGCAAACTTGGGGAATCTTTTGGGTGTATGACCTCGAGCCAGGCACTCAGATGCCATTAAACCCCCAGTTTTCCATATTATTTCCCCCACACAAAACATGACCTACGTGTTTTCCCAAAGCTTTGTCAGCCAGCCCTGTGCACACCCATAAATCCAACAATCCCTGTGGCTAATCTCACCCCAGGCTCTCCCTGGGGAGTGACCAGAGAGGGGATAATTCCAGAGACTGGGAAAAAGCAGCAGAAAGCTGGACACAGCAAGTCAGCAACACGCCTGCACTGATGGAGGAAAACTGCTTGCATAAGAGGCTGTAATCTGTTTAATCTGGTTTAATGTCTTTCAGGGCAGATCCCCAGCAATGCTGCCTTGCAGCAGCTCTTCAGTAGGCTGAAGGTGATGCAAAGCTGAGGAGGAACAGAAAACACCATCCTGTGAACAAAAAACAAAGTGCACGTTGTGGGGTTTTAATACAAGGCTTACTTTTGACTAAAATAATCCAATAAACACTAATTGGAAACAAATGTCTCTCCCTGGTGCACGGCAGAAAACACTGGTGCTCCCAAGCCTTGTAAAAAAGACCAGCTAAGAGAAATAAAAACCAGATCCTGCTGGAAAACCATCTTGAAAGTCCAAGATTTCAGTTCTTCTGAAGGCAAAGCTCCCATGGATAAAACACGGGCTGAATTAAGAGCTGCAAGATGGTGCCTTGGAGGGTTTTTTTTTCCCTTCCATCAGCTGAAAAGCTGGAGTGCAACAAAGCTTGGGGCACTCCCCCTGCCTCCAAAACCTCAGCAGCCCCCCGAGCCCCTCAGCACAGCTCCTCCACACGCCTGGGGAAAGCTGCTTCCAACCTCAGCACTTCCAATTATCTATTTAAAAAAAACCAATTTCCCTGCCAGGAATAATAAAATTTTAACTGTTCCCCAATTTATATTGTTAGGGAAAAAAAATAAATAATACAACCAGGCTCTTAGGTTTCCAATTCCCAGATTGCCATTATGAATTCAAGGGAAATAAAGAGAACACTTTCTGCCATGACAGGGAGAGGGAAAGGAGGGTTGTGAACAGTTGGAAGGACAAAGCAACAGCCCGTGGTGGCTGGAAGGCTGCTGAGAGCTCAGAGTCCTGCTCTCCACCAGTAATTATCACTGATTATCTGAGCACTGGGGCTCAGGCTGAGGGAAGTGGTGCCTGCAGGGGACAGGACAAGGTCCCTGCTCTCCAATCCTCTGTCCAGAGCCACCCAGATCACCAAGGAGCATGGAGCTGGTGGCTGTTTCTGGAGGGAAAAGCTCCTCCATCAAACCTAGAGACCATAATCTCCATGGACACACTCTAAGCCAAGGCAGCTCATAAAGCTCTGCCCATTTGGGCCTGTTAAGCTCAGCAATTTGTACTTTGAGAGCAAAAGTTGCTATAAATGTCAAACTTGGTGCTTGGGGTCTCTCCCAAAGGCATGAAGGCCTGGTGATGGCAACAGGGTGTTCCAGAGCCCTCCCTGTGCTGCTCAATGTCCCTGGTTGCCACCAGCTCCCTGTCCCTGCAGGAGGAGGGTGCTGGTGGTGGTGGGAGCTCAGCCTTAGACCTGCTCCACTGTGTCAAAAAGCCACAGGTGACCCAGCACCACCCACAGGGGTCCTGATGGACATCAGAAGGTGCCACTACCCCAACCCTACCAGACCAAGGCCGTGGAGATGAAGTGATGGATGCCCCTCAGCCTTGTCCACCAAGTTCTTTGCAGGCTTTGGGGAGCTGTGCTTCATTTGGGGGCAGCCTTGTGGAAAACACAGAAAGCATCTGTCCCTCTGAGAGCACCCAGGTCTTCCCCTCCCTTGTTGTTCTCAGTTTCTCTGCTACACTCCTGTTGCACAAGAAGCTGCTCCCAGGGCAGAGCTCGGTCTCCTTTTTTCTCCTCTCAGTCTCATTTTCTCATCTCAAAGGCTGTGAGACCTCTGTGAGGCTCTGCATTGTACAAAACACCCCTGCCTTTGTTCTCAGAAACCTAGAACCAGATGGATTTCTTCCCAGTTCTCAGATTCAAGATCCGAAAGATTCAGTCTCCCCTTTGGGACTTCATTTTCTCTTCTCTGCTGGCTTTTCTTCCTCCTTTTTATGGCCTCTCTTAAATTCAGAGGGTTTGCAAGCCCTTCCCAAAAGCAGGCCTGTGAAGTTTCACCACAGAGGACTCTTTCAGGCTATGAAACAGAAACTCCCAATGTGTTTTCTCACGCTTCCCTTCTAGGACCATCAATTCTGAAGTGTCACCAACCTCCTGACGGGCAGCAGTTGGAGCTCCTGCAGCCAGGGCCCCTCTGCTCCTGGCCACCACGACTCCTGCAGCCACCCCAGACCAGAGAAACTCCAGGCAGAGCTGGAAAGGAGCCCTTTGAGTCCTTTTTTTTGGGTTTTGGGGTGGTTTTGGGTGCAGCACCATGGGCAGTGAGCAGCCTGTGCCCAGGCAGATGGACTTTCTGGGGTCATCACCCTGCTGAAGACCCCCAGCCTGACCCTTCTTAACAGGGGGGAAAAAAAGAAAAAACAAAGATGATTTGGAGAAGAAAGAGCCACAGGAAACAAAAAAGATGACCTGCAGCAACCACCTGCCTTGGGCTTATCCAAACACCTCCACCTCTTCCTCCTCCTCAACATGTTATCAGCACTGCACAAACCCAGCCTGTGCCTTATCAAGCCCAGGTAAGGGCTGCCCTTCCCAAACCAGCACTGGTCCCCTGAGGAACTCCTTCCAGCAGCAGGGAGTCACAGCATGGTGTGGGGAGTGCTTCTCCTGGCAGGAGGTGCAGCCCTGGATTTATGTATGTGCCCACAGGAGCAGTGCTGACAACGAGAAGCACCTTGCCCAGAGCTGCTGCAGGGCTGTGAGCACCTTGGAAGCACGTTGGGTTGGTGATCACACCTCATTCCAAGCTTCTTTCCATCAACCCTTGGACACCAACAGCCAGATGCTGCCAGCTCTGCCTCCCTGTAGAGTCTGAAGCACATTCCTGGGTGCCACCACTTATTACAATAGAAGAAGAGAAACATTTAACTGTTTTTTTTTGGATGCCTGGCTCTTGTCCCCCAATTTCCTGAAGCCAACAGCCCACACCACTCATCAGCTGGAAGAGGCAGGGTGTCTATAAATCTCACAGGGGCAAAGCTTCATGAGGGAATCTGGAAAAGAAAGCAGCTGTTCTACCCCAAACAGACCAATATACTGAGCTTGCACCTTTGCTGGAAACAGGAGCAGGTCTTGGATTCCCTCAGTGAAACTCTTTTCTTCTGCAGCAGCTCTTGGCACAGGGAGTTTGGGCCTCTGTGAGCCTCCAGCCATGCTGGGCACACACAGCTGCCTCCAGGGTGGCCACAGGAGGAATTTCTTCTCCCATAGATATGATGAAAGTTAAGGTTGGAATTTAGAATGAGACTCTGCTAACAAGGGTGTGATGCCACTTCATGAGTGGAAAAAAAACCCTATCCAGCTGAAAACCTACAAAACCTCTCAAAAGATTTAAAAAATCATAAAATCACAGGACTGTTTAGGTTGGAAAAGGTCTTTAAGATCACCAAGTCCAATCATGAACCTACCTCTGCCAAGTCCACTGCTCAACTGTGACCCTCAGCACCACATTGACACACATCCAGAGGTGGGGATTCAACCACTGCCCTGGGCAGCCTGGTCCAAGGCTTGACAACCCAAATAAAGCATGAAGCAAAGAAAAACCATCCTGACAATAACCCCAACAGGTAATTTGGTCTGGCATTTGTCAGAGAAAACTATTTAAGAGGGAGAAAAGGGCTGAGCTGCTCAGGAGCTCGTGTTCTTCACACCCAGTGGGGCAGCACGCTCCAGCAGGACACTCCAGCAGCTCCTCCATGCTGGAGGGCAAACAGTCTTCTTAAACCAAAAAGGCAACCCTGAGTTTTAAGGGAAAGATGCTGAATGAAGGTTTTAACCCTGGGATTTCCTCAAAGACCCATAAATGCCCTCCCCTCAAAGGCAGAGGCTGGAGGGGACCTCTGGAGATCATCTAGTCCAAGCCCCCTGCTGCAGCAGGGTCACTGAGAGACAGGGAGAGCTTTTTTTCCTTCCTCCTTCTGCAAACCCTGATGCAGTTTCTAGCAAATCCCTCTGTTCCACGCCTGCTGATCAGCAAACCCTTCCCCTTTATCAGCTGCAGGTCTTTCATGGTGCTGGGACACAGCCAGGGGAACACCAAGCACCAGCAGACAAGAAATGAAGCTCAAATGGTTTTCACAGGACACGTTTCCCATTTCAGGAAACATAGAGGGGGCTGTTAAAAGAAGCCAGATGAGGATTTCAGCAGAAATCTAAATATATTCTGTGGCTTCCCCAGAGCTCAGCATGCTCTGGGTGAGGAAGAGGGAGACAGGCTCTGCCTGCTCACTGCAGCTCTGCCCCTGGCCCTGCTGGAGGAGCTGAACTCCTCAGCCCTTGGGGTCTTCAGGCTATCCTGCAACAGGCCAGCAGACTCCAAAATTAAATACTTCCATCAAGCTAATTGCTGCTGAAATAAGTGTTCCCAGAAGTAGGAAAACATGTGGCCAACCAGGAATTTTCAAAAGGTTTGAAAATCAGCCTCAGTTCCCCCATCTCCTTCCCAGAGAGTTTATCCCATCTTGAAACCAGCTTTTGCAGAGCCAACAAAAAGCACAAGTCCCTTCAGACTTTGAATATCCTTCAACAGGAGCACGCA